GAGGGAAGCAATTCTGCGACACAAGCAGTCATACAGGGTATTTCAACCATCGTCAGGGCTCTTTTACGCTACTTTGGCGACGCTTTCACCATACGAAAGGCTCTCGGAGGGTGGGTTCTTCTGAATGCCGCGAGGTTCTCATGTTTGCGCTCGTACTGGGACTCACCTTCCGAATCCGCGAGGGAGAGAGCGAGCAGGAGCGAGGCGACTTTCTGTTGACTTGATATGAGACATGGACCAAGACATGTTTAGCAGCAGTTACAAGTGGTGAGTCATGGATAGTGGCACGGACGTGCCACTATGTATATATGTATGTTGAGAGCTGTCAGACAGAATTGAATAGAAGTAAGTTCAATCGCAACAGGTTATGCACCCGGTTGCTTTTATTATGCTTCCACTGCACGATTGAACTCGGCATATGAGAACACTTTTCGTCAAGAATCGACGGTTGACAGCAAAGACCCGGCACTATGGGCAAGAAAGACTACAAAGGAACCATCCTTGATGGAAGAGACCTTTGACAGCTGGAAGATGGATCTTGAAGATAACTTGTTGAGTGACGATCTTATGAGCTGCGTCACCGGTAAGGCAACAGCGGAATCGTCAGATTTATCAACGCCAGGAGAGAATGCTGCGGACATTAAAATGTCTCTCTTGCGAGAATGAAAATACGACAGAGTATTGACCAGATCCACAAGAACTCAGTCAACCATCTCACCGATCCACGAGCAATTTATCAATCCTCGTTAAGCGATATGCGACATCGAACAAAGCGCGCCTTCGACAGCTGATCCGAATGCTATACGACGTTAGTACGCAGACGAATAGAACTGTGCAGGAGAAGGTCGACGACCTAAAGCGACTTCGAGCTCAGATTAATAGCCAAGACAAGGACATTGTTATCCATGAACAGCTATTGATTTGCTTTTGCAAATGAGCATGGACGACGCTTTTAACACTACGGTCGAGATCTTGAACGCCTCGACAGAGACGTTGACAATGGAAAAGGTGCAGAGCTCTCTGGAAAGCAAAGAGTTGGAACTCGTCGATACTACAATCAAGGGAGAAACCGCACAATCTGCGGGTCGTGGCCGCAGTGCATGGAACAAAGGGAACAACAGGTCCAAAGCACAGGATGGTGGCGATGATAGCAAGGAGGAATATCTGAAGAAGGCAGGGGTGCTGGTCTTGTGGCGGTATGCATTTCAAGCATGATTGTGCAATTTGGCACCAAACCAAAGCAGGGAAGACCTGGCTAGCCTCTGAAAAAGCGAAGGCGAGAGAGGCCATGGATAGCAAAGGAAAGGCAAACGCGGTCAGGATCCTTGAAGACAGTGGTAGTGAATCTGAGAGATCTACCTACTTGCTTCCGAACACAAAGGAAACAGCCCTCCACAATGGTATCTCGACAGCTGTGCTTCCTCCATATCACCCCAAGGGAAGACCAATTTATCTCAAAGTTGTCCCCTACAAAGACAAGTGTTGAGATTGCAGACGGCCTGAGGTTCGTTCAAGAGGGAAAGGAGATGTGAGGATCTTTTACGTCTCACAGAAAGGAAGAGCAAGGTCGACAATAGTACGTGGGGTGCACTACATCCCGGAGGCGACGAGCAGCCTGCTATCAGTCGGTGAACTGGAAGACAGGGGAGCATGTATTGTCGGACTCTCCGGGGAAGACAGTCACGGTGACAAGAAATCAGGAGGAGGTGCTGTTTGGCCACAGACATAAAAGGTGTGGCGCTTGAGCCAGACAAGAGGGCACCGAGCCCATACAATCCAAGAAAAGGATGGCGATAACGGGGTAGCGCTGAAGTCAATCCTGAAGATGCCTGAAAGACTACTACATGCCAGGCTGGGACACCCTGGAAAGCATATGGAGGGCAAACTGAACGCCGTAATGGATGATCTCGAGACAACTCATTCTGCCCGTCATTCTGCCAAGCTGCACCGAGGCCAAAATGACAAGAAAGGTCTCAAGGGAGCCAATGTCTGCGGTGACAGAAAAGCTAGAGAGAGTCCATATAGATCTTTGGGGCCAGTTGAGCTATCACTTCAAGGAATGAAGTACATGCTGACAATCACCGATCAGGCTACCGGGCGAGTTTGGGTTTATTTCTAGAGACAAAACGAGAATTACCGACAAGATCAAAGCCTGGGTAGTTGTTGCAGAGGCAGAGTGTCGCGAGTACGGAAAAGGCGAAAAGGTCAAGGCGATGCGCTTTGATCGCGGAAAGGAGTTTCTAAACGAGGCAATGAGGGTATTTTGCACGGGGAGAGCTATTCGGATCGAACCAACAGTGGGCTACCACCCGGAGGGGAATAGTATCTCTGAGAGGAGCATGAGAACCATATCAGAGAGGGGTCTGCATGCGTCACGAAATGGATCTCCTGCAGCATACTGGGAGTTTTCGAACGCAACAGCGGCCTATCTGAGAAATAGGAGTTGTCAAGGAATGGCTAAAAGCCCATGGGAGTTATGGCGTGGAGAGAAGCCAAGATCAGGCACTTGAGAGTGTTCGGATGTCCTGCCTGGGTATTTATTCCCAAAGAAAAGAGAACAAAGCTTCTGAAAAGAGCATGGCAAGGAGTTTTTGTTGGATACAAAGAGGAGACAGATAAAATCTATCTAGTCTGGAACCCAGCTGATAAGAAGGTCCACGAGGTTCGATTCGTGGAATTGATGAGAGCAAGTATATGGACAATGAAATCAGCCAAGAATCACAATCGCAGTATGACGATGAGAAGGAAGAGGGAGCAAGGGGAGTCACTGATGATGACTCTGATGCCGAAGATTCGGTCAGGATAGGACCATGGACCAGGAAGCTACAGAAGCTGGGGAGGATGCGGAGAAGCAGCGGACGGGAACCCGACCGGCCAAGACACTGCAGATTCGGAGGAAGGGCCCCAAGGAGACACAATCATTGTCAATACAGGGAGGCGGATATAACCTCTCCTGAAAGGAGTCTGCCGAAAACAAGATCCCAGATTCGACGAGAGACCGTGGCACTCAAAAGAGCAGAGAAGCAGCGAGCAGAGCTGGAACGGCGGCAAAGAGAAGAACAGCGCATGGCAGAACGTCTGAAGAAGCGAGGGGAGAGTGGCAGGAAGGAAAGAGCCATGGTAGCAAGGACGCTTCTCCAGCCTAATACAGACCTGTACGACTTCGACCTGAAAGCTTACCTTCCGACAGGCGATGGAAGGCAGTGAGAAGGATCAATGGGTAGGAGCTATAGATGAGGAAGTTCAGAATCTCATTCGACGACAGACATTCTCGGAGGAAATCAACGAAGTTGACGTGCACGGAGAAGAAGTAGTTGATGCCAAGCTTGTGTTTGATCGCAAGAAAGACAAAGAAGGAAGATACTACGGTATAAAGCACGTCTAGTCGCGAGAGGGTTCACAGAAACACGGGATCAATTACGAGGAAACCTTCGCACCCACGATCCGGCTCGATGCGATGAGGATCATTCTAGCTTTAGCGGCGAAGAAAGGCTGGAAGGTATACCAGATGGATGCTGTGGCTGCGTTCCTTGCAGCAGACCTAAAGGAAAGGATCTTCATGAAAGTGCCAACTGAGCTCCAGCAATATTTCGGGAAATACGTTCAGATCCTGAAGAGTTTGTACGGATTGAAGCAAGCTGCAAGGATGTGGTATTTGCTAATATCAGAATATCTCAAGGAGATTGGTTTCTCACCGATGACAGTGGACCCGACAATATTCAGACATACAGAGTCGGAGGTAATCATCGGCGTGCACGTGGATGACTTTATGATTACAGGGGAACGAGGATGCCATTGAACGGTCAAGGAAAAGCTGAAGGGAAGATTTGAGATGAAAGACCTCGGAGAAGCAGAGAACATTCTCGGAATTCGGATTCAAAGGCACAAAGGAAAGCTGATGATTGATCAATCACAATTTGCGAAGGAAATCGTGGCAGAATTTCTACGACGACTCAATGAAGCACGCAACCCCATGGAACCTGGAGCTATACGGAAGCTCGCTGAGGAACGGGACGGCCTCTGAACCATGACGAATGGTTGAAATACGTGGAATTGCTCGGAAAGCTGATTTGGCTATGCAATACGAGGTTCGACATTATATTCGCAGTTAACAGAATGGCATCTTTCACGGTAGAGGCATGCTGGAACCACTGGAAGGCTTTGCTACGAATATTGGGTTATGTCGGCAGGACTATTCACCACGGTATCACATATGGCGGAAATAATGAGCACGCACAAGGAGTCGAAGGCAGCGATATCGACTATTACTCCATTGACCACAACATCGAAGGGCACGTCGGCTCTGCAGGCCTGCAAGATGGAGAAGCGTTCTCTGACACCGACTACGCTACTGATCCAAGGGACCGGAAGAGTATCCTGGGGTTCGTCTTTATGGTCTACGGAGGCGCCGTCATGACGTATAGCAAGAAGATGAAATCAGTGGCAAGATCTACGACAGAAGCAGAGTATGTTGGGATGGGGGAGGCCACAAAAGCTGCCCTCTGGGGACGTCGACTACTTGCAGAACTGGAAGGAAAGGGGGAGCAAACAGTGCCATTACTGCTTGAGATAATAAGGAGCTGTACAGCTGACCCGAGGAGTATCGAACACGTCGAAAATCAAGCATGTTGATATAGCATTTCATCACGTCGTTGATGAGGTCAAGGAAGGAGAATCCAAGTCTACTGGGTTCCAGGGGAGAATATGCTAGCAGATGGGATGACCAAGCCTCTGCCTAGGAGGCTTTCGAGAGGAACAGGAGGAGGATTGAATTGGACCCATACGCTATGAATAGCGTTGCAGTTGAAGTCTGACAGCTCTAGGGGAGTGTTGACTTGATATGAGACATGGACCAAGACATGTTTAGCAGCAGTTACAAGTGGTGAGTCATTGATAGTGGCACGGACGTGCCACTATGTATATATGTATGTTGAGAGCTGTCAGACAGAATTGAATAGAAGTAAGTTCAATCGCAACAAAATGAAGAACCAATTGAGTCAATGTGTCGATGTGATGCGGCATTATTCAAGGTTTACTTGGACCTGAGAGTGAAAAAGTCGAGAATCAAGAAAGAGTCCACCATTGCGTTATACTGGAAACGATTGAGCCAGGTCTACGCACAGAAAAGTGCTAAGTGGATGACCGAAAGCGTTCTTTTCGATATTCGAAATGTAAGTTAGTCGGTTAAGTTTCACAATCAGTGGCTGACGACACCAGTGGATTCCGACCTACCTTACACCCAAGTACGGCTTGACACATCCAAAAGAAAAATCCGGCATCTTCATCGACGACCTGGCCATCATGCTGAACCACCTTTGGATCCGCGACGAGGAGATTTTTACTCACGAGCGACCTGAGTCCAGTTATCGGCCAATTTGATCCTGGCAGGCGCTACGGCGACCCGACCGGGAGCCTTGATTGGGCAGCTGCTCTACGAGAACTTAGAGTTCCAAGTGTTTCCTCCGGTAAAAGGAGACACCCGGCCGCGTATTGCTCTGATCAAATCTAGAGCACATCGAGCGGACAGCGGGGAGCTCAGAGCCAAAAAGATTCGCCTTCCGCGAAGATGATTTGCTCTTGTACGACCCGCTGATCCCGATGATGGCTCTGGTATTTTGTGACGGTGCGTTCGTCAATGATTTGGCAGGTCCACAGAGCTTGTATAGCTTCGTGGTGCCACCTGAATCCGATCGCATTCGTCTCCTTTGGAAGAAAGAGTGGCTGAAGCGCCCGTTTTCCGAGACGTTGAAGACACTGAGCACGGCATACAGATCTCACTAGAGAGGCCACTTGACTACAAAAAAGAACGACGACATTTAATTAGACTGGGACGTTCGATTGGAATTGAGAAGCAGCTCGAATGGTATGACCTTCGCCGAGGGTCTGGCAAAACTAAACGGTTCGTGCCCCAGTTCGTCCATTTGACAGCATTAATAACGCCGTAATGCAGAAGCGCTCACGCCAGAGGAGAGAAACAAAATCATGGGACATCGAAAGGGAGATTCGAGCACTTACTTGCAATATTACATGTCGAACTTCATTGACGTGGATTGCCAGTCAATCTGCTTCGGCACAGCCCCGCAACACGACCTTGTGCAGTTAGCCGCCCGCCTTCGCGCCATGACGGCGCTCCAAAGAACTGACAGCCCAACAAATTGCAAAAATCCATAAAAACGAGAAACTTGCCAAATATTGTGCCGAGAGAAACCGTGCGATGCTAGAATGGAAACGCCAGGGCTACCGCAGCCGAGAACTCGCCGAAGGCACCGAAATGCAGAAGCGATACGACCGCTACAGCAAGAAGATTAATAACCTGCGCAGGGTCTTGAAGGCGTCTCGACTGCAAAAAGCCATTCAAGACTTTCACACTAATGTCCATGTGGACGAGGTTAACCGACAGAAGCCCTTGTCGTGGGACAGAGAAAAGAGGCCGCAAACAAGCGGTCACGAGGCGTCTTCGCTCTACCGCGCGCAAGGAACCTATGAAAATGGCGGTAAGGCCAATATTCCGGAACTGGAATCACCTGGAAACCAAGTGAGTCTACGGTTGATTTGTCGGAGGGTGCAAGACCGATGTGCCCATTTTGTCGATGGCAAGGCAGCCATGGAAGGAGCCAACGGATTAAAACATGGCGACTGAGTAACCTGGCAAGACATATTCGGGGACAGCATCTCAAAAGGACGGACGGCATTTCTATGCCCTGGCAAAACTGTGAAGCAGTTCTTGCAGACGCAGAACACTTCGCAAACCATGCGTCCCGACATGGGCTTGATTTACCACCGAGTATACTAAGGCGATAACTTTTCTTCGAATGATGGAGAGATGGAAAAAATATTGAATAGTGTTGGTAGGTCTCGTGCACGTAACAAACTGGGTTAACCGGTGTGTCGTATTCTGCAATGAGGATTGTCTATCGAAAAGGGGGAGGAGGCCACGATGCTAGTTATGTGGCCTCAGCCGTCCTCAGCAGCACACGTGACTGTGTAAGGGATTTTCCGATGATCTGCCGGATCCCGTGACCCGCCGGACTTACACGCGACTGAAAGTTAAGACATCAATCCACAATAACTCCACAGCAACGGGGCCAAAATTTGTCCAACTTAAAATGTGATGAAAAAGCGACTGCGAGATGTGCATCATCCTGTTTCGCAGTCATCAAGCCATTGTGGTCGCTTGCTATTCCGCTGAGGCCGTCCTGAGCTCCGATACCCCACTACCATCTCCCGATCACCTCAACAGCCAGAAAAGGTCTTTGGGCACGAGGCGTTCGGCCGGGCGGAATCCTTGCCTTCTTTGCTAAGTCGTTCTCTGGCTGATCTGGCGCTTGCGATGTTACCGGAGGCTCTGGTGGTGACGGAGGAGCGACGATTATTTCGTCTAGAATCCCTGGACTCTCCTCTCGTGCATCAAAAGGCACCCGCCGGCTTTGCTGCCCCTGTTGTGGCCTTTCCCGGTTAAGATGCCCGAGGTCGTCACGAAGCTGTCGGTTAGCCTCTTTCTCTTGCTTTCTGGCTTCTTTTTCCTGCAATTTTCGCTCCCTTTTCTCCTCTCGCTGCCTCTTCCTCTCCAACACGACCTCTTTTTGTTCTTCCGCCTTCTGCTGTCGCTGAACCTTCTGGGATTCCTTTGAGAGCCTCTTCTTTGGGCCTCCATCGCAGCTTTCTTCACTCGAGCTTGGGCCACTTTTTGCGGGCTGAAGACCTGAGCAGAGTAAGGATCCGTACGGTCAAAGAGATAATCTTTCAGAGCTGTACCACGCTGCCTGCGCTGCTTCTCATGAATTATTGCCTCACGGAGTCCCTTGTTCTCATATCTAAGCAGCTCAACTCGGATTGAAGGCTTTCGAGAGTGCTCTTCAGCTTCCGAGCATTGACTTCCGAATCTGCGGTGGATTTGTCGACTACTTTGTCCACAAGCCGTCGTAATTCTCGAGCAGTAGGCTGTTGCAATGCTAGTGAGTCTTCCGAACCACTGCCTACATCGGAATCGTCGATTCTGTCTTTCACAATCTGTGATAGGACGACTTCGGGATCGAAAGGAAGGAGCCCGGTCCGCATCCACCCACTTTCAACGTTCTCCGGTGAGAAAGACGCCTCGAATGCATTCCAAAACAAAGTCCAGAACTCGCGCTTGACAGCCCAACGAGCCCTTGAGTCTTTGCCGTCCACCGGATAAGCTGATTTGTGTATGCCGTTGACAGAGGGCTGAATAGGGATACGTCCAGGGGCTGGAGCCGATGGGTAGAGTGAGGAGGAAACACCGCCACGATGATCCGATGCTGGTCGCACCACTCCAGAAAGCCCATATTAATATGGCTGGAGTGTCCGTCGGTAATAAGAAGGCGATAATCACGTCCATTTCGTGCTTTTGCCTTGGTAAACCGATCAAAACGCCAGCGAGCCACTCTTTCCCAAGCTCGTGGTTAGTCCAGCCCGTCTCTGAGGTTGTGAAGAATGCTGATTGATGCTCTGGGTCAAAGTCCGTAAGCCAAGAATCTTGGACTTGTCCTGGCTTGCCTTGGTAGATGAGAAAGGAGGCAGTGATGTCATGTCCTGGCAGATGCAAGCCACGAACGTAATCCAGGATCGATTGCCGTCTTGCAATGCGCCGAGCAATTTGCCTTGCTTTTGAGATCAAGGGTGAAGACTCTCTTAGTTCGATTGATCACACCCAAGAGAAAGCCTTTTCATCCATATTATACGTGTTGCAAGGGACAATGTCGTATTTCGATTTTCGCTCGGATCTTCCACAATTAGTAACGAATCTGAGATTTTGTAGACCAACTTACAAGCTCAAAATATGCCTTATACCTAGAGGTATTATCGGCTCTTTCCGTGCAATGTCAAATCCATCGAACCAGCTGCAACCTAGCTCATTGCGGTTGCGATGAACAAAGCTGATTGTAAGGGGCTACGCCCCGATGTGTAGATCTGGCATGGCCAGACTAGTCACGTGCGAGCGCCACGGACACGACTCCTAAAGGAGCGATGAGACACGTCTCCCTTTACACTTTGTAGCTCAATTTACATCAATTACGCCCAGCACCTGTGCCAACAGTGCTGACCCCGTAACATATTGAGCTACCAGTTAACAAAAGACAGGACAGACAGAAGGACAGACAGCAGGACAGACAGCAGGACAGACAGCAGGACAGACAGCAGGACAGTCAGCAGGACAGACAGCAAGACAGGCGATAGGCTAAACGACGAGACGGACGATCGATCGGACGACGAGACGGACGAACAAGATGGAGGACAATAGTAGTTATGCAGGGGCACCGCGACCGGCGGCGCAACGAGCCGATGGAGGGAAGGAGCAAGAGCTCTTGCAGATCTTATCTGGGATCGCGGGAGACGAAGAACTGCGGAAGATGTTCACCGGCTAGGCCTAGCAGCGCCACCGTTGACACCCAGCCCGGGGTGCTCACCCGGCGATCTTACCCGTCGAACCGAGGCCGGAAGCAGCCCAGGAAATGGACCGTGGCAAGAAGCGCAAGCCGATGACTTGGCCGAAGTGGAACGGTCAACCCGAGTCCTTCCACTTCTACCTCGACCGTCTGGTATTTAAGTACAATACCGACGAAGAGGAGGCCTAAACGGCAATAACAACGTCGTGTGGTACGAGATCCTGCAGACCTTGCCGGATCAGATGATGAGGAGAGTCGAGGGTTTTGGAGGCAAGAGAGCGCGAAGGGCAACCCAGACCCCGGAAATTCTTCTCGCACCTAGCCCAGACGTTCGGCAGCGTGCAGCAGACAGAGGGCGCAGGACAGGCTGCGCACCTCATTCAACGAGACAGCCAAGAGTTTGGGAAGTTCCTCCCGAATTCGAGGAAACATTGACCAGCGGGCGGCGCGAGCTGGGATAATGCTTCCAAGCTCGCATGGCTACGGAACTCGATCTCTCCTGCTCTCCGTGAGCAACTAGTCCCGGTTATCATGCCGAAGGACTACAACGAGTACATCCAACGTCTACACCCGATTGCTTGGGCGTTCGAGCACACCGCGAAGTTTAAGGCGTTGCAGAGGAAGCAGGGCCCCGCGGGCAACGTGACCAAGGGCAGGCATCAGGCATCGGCAACATCCAGGTCGCCGGTAACGACAACACCCCGGCACCGTCAGCAACGTTACCCGCCGAGCAGAACGCACGTGACGCACGCGACCATGACGGCGACGTAATAATGACGGTTACACGCACTCAGGGGCAGGGTCAGAGAGGACGGGCGAACGGCCAGGGGTCAAGTGGAACGAGCTGTCGAGAAGAAGGTCCGAACGAGTTGAGGTCCCTAGGTCTCTCTAGGTAATACAGCTTGAAACCAGGTAAGAAGGGAAGTCTGCAGACTATTGTTTCTTCTTCCTAGACCACTGAGGGGTCCGGAGGATCTCCTATTCGATCGGGATCCTCCAAGGAGTCCGGTATATCTTTTACTGGCTCGGGGACCTCAAGAGATTGAACTATCGACCTAATAGCTTGGAAAGCTATTGATCGGGGAGATCGAGCTGAATGTGCTGACGTAGATGGCTTACGCGGCCTTCAGTGAGAGGCAAGGAGGGCCCCCTACTCGCCAGGACAGGACCCTAGCCGGTCGAGGGATGTAAAGTCCGCACCGCCAGGATCATGCCCTGCTGGAAGATGATGGTAACGACTCTAGTGAGGAAGAGTCAGGACTTAGCGAGACCCCATCCTCCGGGAATGCGTAGCCTCGAAACAAAGACGGGTCTCGAGGCCAAAGAACGGAGCAGTGGCAAAAGAAGAGAAGTTCTCAGGAAAATGGAAGTTGGTCCTACAATAATTCGAAGCATTATCAATAGGACCAATCTCTTCTCCTCACTCGTAGACGAGGGATGCCAGTGCTACGCCGCGGTTGACGAAGAAGTCGTCGAGAAGTTGGAAGTTCCTATAGTGGAAATAGCACCGCGAGCTATTACAGGAGCATCAGGGGCAATGGAAGGAGCAACGATTAGGGCCTCGTATGGCTATCAATGGAGGTCAACGGCCACATACAGACGATCTGTGCCTACGTGGTGCCCTGATTGGAATTCCCTAATCCTAGGAAAACCCTGGTTATGCCACACAAAGTCGTACTCAGTGCCCCACGAGAAACGACTATGGCATGAACCTACACAAGACTGGGTAGATCACCTCGGGGAAGGAGAATATTCTGCGAAAGCCAAGGAGTTCGAAGAAGCAAAGCACGTACTAGCCAGTACCTTTGTGGGTTACTTGAAAGGATCCGCAAGCAGGAAGGAAGAGAGGCAGCTGCCACGGCGATTTTCGCTATCAGCATGAAGGATATCGAAAGGGCGTTATCACCAAAGAAACCCATGTCAGAAGCAGAGCTACGCCGAACGATACCCCAGCGGTTCCACGATTTACGCCTCTATTTATGAAGAAGGAAGCTGATAAGCTGAATCCTCATAAGCCAGGTATAGACCACGAAATCAGAATCAAGGAGGACCCGAATGGCCAGCAGTTACCACTACCGTATGGAGCACTATACGGTATGTCACGAGAGGAACTCCTGGTTCTAAGAAGACTCTACGAGACCTAGTGGATAAAGGATTTATCCGTGCAAGCAGTTCAGAAGCAGCAGCCCAGCCCTGTTTGTGAGGAAACCAGGTGGCGGGCTGCGATTCTGTTGTGACTACAGAGCGTTGAACGCAATCACTAAGTCGGACCGTTACCCTTCCTCTAATAGGGGACACTTCGCAACCTAAAAGATGCGAAGTGGTTCACTAAGGTCGACGTGGTACAAGCGTTCCATAAAGTACGGGTTGCAGAAGGAGACGAGTGGAAGACAGCGTTCCGCACCCGGTACGGTCTCTTCGAATGGATGGTTACCCTGTTCGCTAAGTGGCGCGCCAGCAACCTTCCAGCGGTATATTAACGGTATCCTACGAGACTACCTCGACGAGTTCGCCTCTGCTTATATGGACGATATACTTATCTATTCGAGCGGGAGCAGAGAAGACCATTTCCGGAAGGTACGGTTAGTTTTAGAACGCCTCGCCGAGCATGGACTACACCTAGACCCGGAGAAATGCGAATTTGGAGTCAAGCGGATTAAGTACCTAGGATTCATTATTCACGCAGGAATTGGCATTCAGGCAGATCCCGACAAGATACGAGCAATAGTCGAGTGGGCAGTCCCCGTTACCCAGAAGCAGGGTGGTTTTCATATCTAAATATGGAAATACCCTTTCCATGAATGGCATGGAATAGGTATGATATGGATCCATGTATTTCCATACTATTGGCTGAACCACGCCACTAACAAGGGTTCCCAGGGGCTACCAGCAGGGCTGTGGGCCTGGAAACCCCAAGCAAACCGCACATCCAAGAAAATCAGCCTCACCACCAATCCACAGCATACCATTATCACCTGGCGACAATGGAGCTGAGCCTGTGTTAGTTATGTTTCTTCGATTCTGAATCCATTGCTTTGATTCATTCGCGTCTATATCTCCCAAGACAAGAGAAAACTCGCTTTTGGATCATGAAACATGCTCATCTGGCAGTAATGTACCGGTAGTAAAGGTTAGGGAACAGGAGTTCAAAGGCAGGAACCGCTCATATTATCTTTATTGTCCCCAGAATGATCCCTACAGTACTTGTCACCGCCAGCTTTCGAAAAACCCTGAGGGCAAGAAAGTATGTCATCAACGTCGCAGAGAATTTATCTCCTCTTCAACCGTCCATCATCGAAGGATTTGATCAACTCTACGGCAAGCGGATCTGGGCCGTCTTCAAAGGCTACCTTTACCAAGAAATTATCAAAAGAGAATTCGCCTTATTACGCCGCTTCTTTGGTCCTTCATCCAAGCTATCGCACGACGTACATCCACCAAATTAGAAGAAGTGGCATAAAACTGCTTTCAAACGGGTCAAAGACCTTTGCTACTCTTACCGAAATACAAACGACGGTACAATCTCGTATCATGTACTGGACGAAGAAGAAGACAATGGCCTTGATGCATTTGATCGTATTTCAAGAAATCTGCAGAATTGTGCTCGACCTACAAGTCAAGACGAGTATGAAGATTACATCTCAGGTGATCCATATGAGATTGCGCCACAACTGCTTTATCATGGTGGCTTCAAGAGCGACATAGGAACCGACGGCCGAAGTTATCACGAATGGCAATAGACATCCTATCAATGCCAGCGATGAGCGACGAGCCGGAACGGTGTTTTGGGGCCTGTCGTACGATCCTGGGAAAGGGCACATTGGATGCGGACCAAATTGAAAAGGGAGAATGGTTGAAGCATTGGGTGAAGAACAATGTCTTGAAGAGGAAGGGGCGGTGGCGTGACCGTGGCGTGAGAATTCGTGCAAATTCCCGTCTGATTTCCTCCTCGTCTTGGAACAAACGTAAGATTTGTTTACCCTCTCTTTTGGACATTATCATTGAGCTCAATCAATTACTTGTATTTTTAATTCACCATATGGTGTGAATTTGTCCATCTTGTCGAAGGTGTCTTCAGTGACATTTTGTCGTCGTGCACGGACCAAGTATGGAAGGTGTATTGCAATACGCAATAAAATGGGGCCGATACCGATATCGATTGCAGGCCTTTCCATGTATGGAAACCACCCTGCCCAGAAGGGGTGCAGTTTCTAGGATTCGTTACTACTACCGGATATTTATACCGCAAGCCTCGGAAATAACTGCACCCTAACAGCACTAACAGGAAAGGGGACTAAGTTCAAGTGGACGGACGAGCACGATATGGCGTTCCAGACACTAAAGACGCTATTTACGAACGCCCCTATTCTTACTCAATGGGATTTCGAGAGGCCAACCTTCGTAGAAGCAGACTGTAGCGGCTGGGCGCTTGGGGGCACACTTACGCAGGAAGTCGACGGACAACGCAAGCCAGTAGCGCTCCACTCGCAGAAGCTATCACCGGCTGAGCGCAACTACCCAATCCATGATAAGGAAATGCTCGCTATTATTCGTTGTCTCGAACAATGGTCAGCCGAGCTACGAAGCTGTGATAACTTCGTTATCCTTACCGACCATAAGAACCTCGAGTATTTCATGACGCGCCAACAGCTCTCGGAAAGGCAGGCACGTTGGGCTGAATATCTCTCGCGTTTTAACTTCCAGCTCCAGCCCCGTCCGGGACGGAAGCAGTGGTGCCAGACGCCTCTCTCGCCGCGAACAGGACCGACCAACGCGGATCACGAAGCACGAGATATGCAGCTTATTCCAGAAGCAGCCCACGCCTACGCGTCGGAGTAACGTCGACTCAAGCGGGAGAAGGCGAAGAAGAAACACACGGTTTCCACGACCCAGAGCTACAACAATTATGGCAGCAAACGGCAAACCAGGATCCAGTCTTTACAAGCGTTTATAACGCGGTACGAAACGGATCTCGGTCCTCGACCAAGCTTAAGCTGAAGGTACAAGTCGCCGAGTGCTTTAAGTCCCTGCACATAGAAATGGCACTTCGTTTTGGGCACCCAAGATGGGTGCCAACCAAACGCTGCGTCAATCAACAGCAAATTTCACCGCGGAAACGCATCCAATCTGCTAAAAATTGACGCATGTGTCTTCAAGCCACTACAAATATACAGAGTCTGACATTCACAGCGCCCTTGAGGCAATCGCCAATGGCGGATCCGCCAAGAAGGCTGCTCGCGATTGGGGCGTCTGAGGGCAACTCTTTACAATCGCATGCATGGTCACGAATGCAGAAAGCATTTTCTGCTCTTCAGAGGCTTTTCAGACACAGGAAAAGCAACTTACCGAATGGATTCTCATTCAGGACGCCTTAGGCCTTCCTCCACTCACTCGCAGATCAGCGAATGCGCAGCGCGCTCGCCGTCAAAGGAGACCACACACCGCTCGGAAAACACTGGATGCAAGCATTTTAGACGAATCCTGCAGTTCGGACCCAGAAGTGCCATCACAGAGACTCTGCGCGTGTCAACGGCGCTTCTACCGAGGAATTCGGCCTGGTTCAACAATTCTTCCTTCCCGAGATTCTGGCTATTATTGAGAACAGGTACAACATGGATGAAGCAGGCATCATGGAAGGACTTGGAGA